AGTTAACTCAATTGTCTTTGTTGTCTTGACGTAAAATTATTTCGCAGCATGGATACGCAAATATTTAAGTTGAAACAACAAGTTGGGTCTTACAGTGTACTTGAGGTACTATAAGAGCATTAATGTCGGTGCAGGTATACACTTTTCATCCTCCCTCAGCATGTTACTGAGGGGCTTATACCAGATGCGTTTAGTCACTTAGTGGTGGAACCAAACCAATGACAGTTACATTACATTTGAACTTTAATGAACTCAGTTATACCTCTGATTTATTAGCACTGCCAGTGCCCGTCGTTAATCTATGGGTTCATGTACAGGCTATTCCAGGACGATGCTCTTGCAATGAATAATGAGAAATACTTGAATGGCACTAATTAAACATCACATTGGGTATCAATTGTAATTAAAACAGATTACTTTTAGATTTCTGCTCTCAACTGTTTTTGTATTTGATATCAGTCTTTTTTCATTATATCTTCTTCCTTCCAACCTCACTATTATTATATTTGTTTGATTTATGTGATGTCTGCAGCCTGTGACACAGCAATTTCACTTTTGGGATCAATAACCCCATCTTCACTTTTGTCTATCTATGTTTTGCAAATGTTAAATGATATGATTCATCTTTTCTTCTTCTGCCACCTCTTTACCTGTTGTTGTTTTAACCTGTGAGAGCAGACCTGACTTTACTTTCTGTGAGAGGCTATAGCATCAAAAAAGTGGTATCATATGAAACCTGGCCAAAAATAAAAAATCTATTGCCACCAAACATGCCATGCTAGATTGTTGGGAAGAAGGCAAATTACGCTCCAAACTAAAATGATGCATATTCTAAAAATATTCTATTCTGCGTTATAGGTCCCTAAACAGTCTAAGAACTGCATCAATTAGGAATGACTACCAAGCTGACACTCTTGTGGATCTAATAAGCCCAATTGTATTCATATGCCAGGATATATAGTCCCTATAGTAGCAGTCTCATTGTATTGTGACTGTTTTTATAATTGAATGTTTCATGTAGCTTTGTAACAAACGACTGTTATAACTCTCCAGTAACGTGACGTTGTCGCTGGCAGTGTTAACTTTCATGGCACCATGACAATTACTATGTGTGGTAAAAATTTCACTTGCTGCGAAGAGAGACCTCTTGAGTATTGTTTTTATACTGTGTAGCTTGCTGTTTAACTGCCGCTTAGCATTTCTAGCAGGACATTTTTCATGCTATTTTGTATCTAATGAGACAGTTTTTTTAAATATGTCGTTGCTCTATTAAATGAACTGTTGTGAGCTGTAGGATAATCAAAGCTTCCTGACACTATTTCAACACATAAAAGAAACTTAGGGAATTCATTGGATGTATGGCTTTCATAGGTATATTGAAAATATGGGGGTTTATTAGGAGTTTTCACAACAGACATGCAAAAAGAAAATGCATTTATGTATATTTTGTCTTTACTGATTAACATAATTGCCTGGTGCATCGTACATATCCTGATTAATGTTAAGATATTTGCTCTGATTACATCTGATCAGGTTTTCCTTGTCACAGACTGAGCAGTGAAGGAGTTCAAACTTTAGGAGGTGCACAGGTTTCTCTCCACTGTAAGTAGGTTAAGCCGGTAAAACAGCAGAGAGATTGTCAACACACAAATCTCCATTAGTGTCCACAGACAGGTACAGGGCCAGATCAGTCCCTGGTGTGTTTACCCTGCATTACACCAGAGACCATCTGTGTCCCAGCAGCACCATATGGGTGAGCTGCCCTGTTGGGGGGGTGGGGCTGAAGAACACGCTTCAGACGGCAGCATGCTGATCCTCTGCTGTGGAGCACAGGCTGAGAGTCTGAGCTGAGAGTCTGCCAACATCTGCAGCCGTCAGTCAAAGAGTCTTTACAACCTGCCAGGAAGTACACTGCAGACTCTAGTGACCTGATGAGGCTGTTTACAGTCTGGACCGCTGTGTGCTGCTCGTTAGCTATAAAGCTTTATTACATTTAAAACGGATTATTAGTTATTCCTTTTAGAGGTTAAAGTTGTAAGCATGCTTTGTGAGTCAGTTCAATCCCATCATTAAATCCACCTGTTGTGTGTTACTCTAATAGACCTTCCTAACCAAATGTACCGACACCTATGACCTCCAGCTTTGAGGTTTTAGGCCAAGGCTTCCTAGTTTGGATTCTCTAGATCAGTGATTCTCAAATGGGGTTACGCGGACCCCTAGGGTCCTAGTATATTGGGGTACTGCAGGGGGTACGTGAGATATAAGAAAATCGGTTAATTTCAAAAATAGCATGCATGATTACAAAAATAATCTTAGTGCAATAAGTTCAATAGAAAACACGATTTTATATAAAATATTCCTAGAACCACCAAGGCGGTCCTCATATAAACATGTCAAATTTGTGGTTTGCATTTTATAGTTTTTCATAAAATATCATTTTGTTCATTGGTTTGTTAAAATATATTATTTCAATTGAAAAACTCCTTGGAAAAATCTGTTTTAAAAAAATGTTGTTATGTTCTTTGTTTTCATGCATAAAGATGAAAATATCCTTAGTTTGTTGTAATTCATGCATGAAGGAGTTAATAAATCACACACTGATGGAACATCACTATATTGTAATTATTTATATAGGCTTTTACTATCAAAAATGTTTGGGGTCGGTCAGGGGGTACTTGGATGAGAACAATTTTCAAAGGGGGTACATTACTGAAAACAGTTTGAGAAGCACTGCAGATGATAAAAATGAGCTTTGAGGCTTCCTTTATTATCTACTTTAGCTTAGGAAACACTGGACCATCCTTTATGAAAGGAAAGGAGAAAATGCTGTCTCACAATACCTTGTGGCCGCAACATTTACCATAACACAATAGTCGGCAAACAATACAAATCATACAAACAACCGATCATGACCAACAAACGCAGATGATGTACTGCTGTACTTATTAAGCATTCTTGATCCTATTCCATATCTTATGCTTAAATGTTTTAAACTTTCAACACTATATTAAACCTAAAAGCAAAATATGAACACTAATTACTGTAAAATGATCAAATAAAGTAAATAATTCCTGTCTTACCTTGAACATCTGTTTGACCTTCTGTCGGGGCAGGTTGACGTTGAGTTTGTGCAGCAGCTGCATAACCTCTCCGATGCTGAGGCTGCTGTCACCGTTCTTATCGGCCTCCGTGAAGGTCTGCTTCAGCCATGTGACCAAACCGAGGGTTAAGGAAAGGTGGACACTTTGTAGAGAGCTGCATGAATGAGTTCCAAAAGCCAGAAATGAGTTAGCATTTCACCACTTCCGTTTCCCTTGTCAACGGCATTCAATGTCAAAAAAGTTTTTTTTTGTTAGAAGCCTGAAATAGGAATAGGGTCTACGGTTAACAACAACTTTAGAGATTTTCATGTTTTGTTCCATGACATAAAACAAGTCGGTATGTACCCCACTGGTGAAAAACAGCTGATGCTAACACAAGGCTAAATTACACTGCTAAGCGCCATTAAGACGAACATTAGCTGCCTTTAGCTTAGCGGTGGTGATGGCAGCCGTACGACAGGGATGTAGTTAGAAATTCAATGATCTCTACATTATATACACAAATATATATTTACAGGTGGTTGCAGCCTGAAATCACCAGCCCATGTGTGAACCCCCCCCCCCCCCCCCCCCCCTCTCGCCCTTTCTGTATGGCTGAAGGATATTGGTCTCGGGTGCGCTGCCTCTTGGCCAGGCTGTCCTCGTCACTGATGCCGGCCATCAGGTACTTGAGGCCGGTGATCCAGGTGCGGGCCTCCTCCCCGGTGCCCGACACCAGGTCCAGGGACTCCATGTGCTCTCCGTAGTACAGGCTGAAGCAGCAGTTGGGGTCGAAGCTGCCCTCGGAGTAGCGCTGGAAGATCTCTGACTGCTTCCCCTCACACACCTCCCGCACAGAGTCCACGGAGACTGATGGAGAGACAGGAAGTCAGTGGTGGAATGTAACAAAGTGCTTTTATTTGAAGGAATACATTACCTCCAATATCATCACATCTATATCAATTACTGAATCATCCAACAGTTTATTAGGTATTTTATTAACAACATTTCTGTATAAACGGGATCGTGTCTGTGCTGTGTGAGACACATGTGAGGCATGGGATAGAAAAAGTTTTCCTTAAGGGGCCCTTTTATACTTTTTGGAGTTTTCCCATTTCTTGTAATATGCTGTAAATGGTCTGTAAAGGCTAAAATCCCTGTGTTCCTTCCAGAGGGAGTTTCTCTCCCACACATTTTTTTTTACAATACAACAATAGGAAAAATGTAAATCAGCGAAGACATTTAGTGGAGGTTGAATCACCTAATGGGTTTTGCTTTTGATACTTTCAGTACATTTTCGTTGATAATACTGTGCAAGTGCATTTTTGAATGCATGACTTATTTGGTAATTGGCTATTGGTGTGTGGTGTTGCAACTTTTCTCTATTCTTCCTCCTCCCATAGAGTAGGTAGATCCAGAATATGTTAAGCCTTGTGGAGGCCTATCATCAATCGCTGATACAAAATGAAACCTATTTAAAAAAACAAGCAAAACTCAGGATAATGAAACCAGCAGTCTTCTGCAGTCTTCAGCACTCTATTGGTTTTCACAATTTCCCCCTCTGGCAAAATAGTGAATTAATTGTAGTGGACAAAGGGATGGTTTAATGGGGAAATGATTCCATCCTATTTCAGGCTCCGTGAAACGGAGGATTCAACATTTATGAGATGGTAATGATATTTTACCGGAAGACACTGCCTCCAGTCATTAATTCAATTTCCCCATGACGGCGAGCACACGATAAGTACTCCTGTTGTGAGCTCAGCCCACGTGCTAATTGGGACATTTAGTGGACCTGGTTCAATTCCTAAAAAAACATCCATTACCTTCAAATAATTGTTATGCAAGTATCATTCAGATATTTATTCGTTTCAGTCATACACAGTACAAGGATACATTATACACACTCATTCCTCCTGCAGCTATAGCAACACACACCCTCCCACGGGCTGTTTGGTACACAACCTGAGGTTTTTATACAGAGTGTGTGTGTGTGTGTGTGTGTGTGTGTGTGTGTGTGTGTGTGTGTGTGTGTGTGTGTGTGTGTGTGTGTGTGTGTGTAGGGCGGCACTAGCCAGCGTCCTGCCACAAGAGAGTGTGTGTGTGTGTGTGTGTGTGCGTGCGTGCGTGCGTGCGTGCGTGCGTGCGTGCGTGCGTGCGCGTACGCACGTGTGTTTGTGTGTCTGTGTTGGATGTCAAAGCTGCTGTGTGTGCTCCCATGTGGTTGTCAGTGCTCCTCTCTATCTCACAGCTGATGACCTGGCAAGCCTTGACGTGTATTATGTGACAGTCTGATCAATATTGAATCCAACAAGAAGACTGAACACAATGTCTGCAGCCATGCCATTGGCTCTACACGGGTATATGTATGCACAGCAGTACTTACATACAGAGGCAGAGGCTCGGGATATAAACACACACACACCAGGGGGAATCTGGGGTTGAGTATCTTGCCAAGAACACATTGAGATGTTGAAACGAACTGACCTTCTGATTGGTGGACCACAGCTCTACCTCCTGTGGTTAGGGTTACTTTAAAAATGTAATTAAGATTTCCAAAAACATAATCAGTAACGTAATCTTAGTGTCAAAATGTAAAAGTAATGTAACCTGATTACTTTCTGTTACTTTTGGATTACCTCAATATCGAATTCAATGCAAATAAATAATCATTAATAAGATGTTTTCAATTAAGTGTATGATGTAATACTACAGAACAATGTGACCTTAGAAAATGAGAAACCAAGATATTTAGGATAAATATCCTCTTAGATTCCGACTGGGTATACCTGATCTGTGTCAACAATCACTACTACCACTACTACGACTACCACTACTACTAAATTAAAAAAAAGGAGCCACACAGGGTTAAACATTTTTTAAGACTTTGACACAGCACACACTGATATTCTGATGTTCATTTATATTAGTTATTTTTCCACACATTTTGAAGTCAAAGTATTTATTCACTTCTTAATGTATCTATCTGAAACGAAATCAGGACCAGGACACAAGTGCATCTGAGTGAGTGTAACACAGCGCTTATAGAGGACAGCAGATCAATCCTGCTCCAGTCTCAGATGATCAGAATAATGCTGTGGGTGGATTAAGAGATATTAAGTCACTGGTGTGCGGAATAATCTTATTTACCTTCATGCAAAAAAATATGAGGTTTCATAGGAGTTATTGCGAAGATTGCATAGATATTTCTGTTTGAATTATTACTTATCCAACCCTAAAGGTTTAAGGACACATTCTGTGATTTAGCTTGAATGTCTTTAAAGGACGCCCCAACCCCCCTGTCATTTCCATTTAGTGGCAAGTGTGTGTAAAACACTGTTTGGGCAGATTAAAGCTGATGAATAATTAAATCGGCTTAAGAAGCTTATTAAATCCTGGGCTACAGAGGAGGAAGAGCAACAGGAAACTGATCCCTAAGTCCCCGGAGACGCTCTCACGGCGAGCGCTGCTAAGACCCTCCTCTGCCTTCTTTCATTCTAAAACATTGCAGGAAGTTGTTTGTTTTGCCTGTTTCAACGAACTAGTGTGCAGGGGAAATACATGTCCAGTTCTAAATAACAAGAACACTTCCAAGCCTGAGGGAATGCTTACTGTAGGAGCAACATCTAAATGGTCCAAATACTTTCCAGATTCATGATAGCACTTATCCTAAGACCACAGGGTAATGGCTCTGTTCCTCCACAGTATCCTGCAGCAGCTCCAGGCCCAAACCAATGTGGGGGTTTGTTCATATGGATTTTGGATTTCCTGTTAGATAAGATCAATCAAGATAAAATTGGAAAAAATAACTAATTGCAATTATGATGACTGATATTGCAATTGCGATAGGATTTTGATATCGGAAATGTTGATTATTATTGTATAATTGGAACATGCATTCAATGATTATTGTGATTGTTTGAAGAGGATCTGTACCAAAAAAGTATGTTTTGTTAAAAGGGCCCAAATCATGCTCCTTTTCAGGTTCACTTCACCTGAACTTGCTCCTGTGGGTATTGTCCACAGTAGATGACCATTACATGTATGTATGATCTGTAGGTGTAATGTGTATTTGTAAAACGCTTTGAGAGTCATTGATAAAGCGCTATAATAAATATAAGGATTATTATTATATCAGTATTTTGTGTCTCTACTCTGACATGTCTCCATGCTTTAATGTTCAAAAAGCTCTTTACTTTTCTCATAATGCCTGTGCTGCAGCACCTCTTTTCACCCTCTGTCTGAAATCAGAGCTCAGTCTGCTCTGATTGGTTAGCTGGCCGGCTCTGTTGTGATTGGTCAACCAATGGAATAGATTCAGTAGAATATGATGATTTGTAAGGTGGGATTTCTCTGCAGCACCACAATACTTCATCAGAATGAAATGCACTCTAAGTTTTAATTCATAAATGTGTTAACAGTTGTTTGTTCTTTCACTTAGGTGTGTGACTATGTGTTTTTGCACTTAAGAGCTGCACAGAGGCAACACTCAGCCCTTTCCTAACACATAACCTATGGCACACATGACTTTTCATAATTCTGAACTGCAACTACATTGCCCTCCGCAGGACAGATTGAATTGGTGACTGTAGGGGGAAGAACACACTCACTCTTGGCCTTCTCATTCTTGCGTGAGGGCCTCCAGCGGATGCAGGACTTGTGTTCGTCCAGATAGAAGAAGCGCACCAGTCCCTTGGGGCCGCCGCGGAGCTTCACCATCTGGGTCCCCATCTGCATGGAGCTCATACATTTCTCCACTGCAGGCGAGAAAAAAACAACAGACAAAAAAAAAGGTTGTCAGAAGGGAAACCACTCGAGCAAAGCAGAATTGTAACAGAAAGTGTGGGACAGCCTCAAAATGTGCTTGCACAACATGATTTCATTCACAAGGCTGAGCGTGTGTTTGCTAAAAACCTCCATCCGGGCTCTCATGTAACACACATTTATTTACTTATACACCCACAGGAACACCAAGCTATGCAAATGCATTGGATGTGCCTGTCACTGCTGACGGGGGCTGCTGGTCCCGTGGGAGGAAGAGAAAGGGAGAGAAGATAGATGACAACGAGAGGCAATTCCTACACAAAAGCCCTTTAACAAAATCTCTACTTCACATTGCACGGAACGACAGAGAAAATCAATACGAGCAGGAGATATTTTCTAATGTGGGGGATTTTCATGGCGGCTTAAAGTTAAAGGTCCCATGTCTTGGCCATTTCTACTGATCATAATTCCATTGTTGAGGTCTAATAGAATAGATTTACATTGTTCAATGTTCCAAACTCACATTGGTTTCTCATACAGCATCTCTGTATAGTATGTGTATTCACCGGTATTCACTCTCTGTCCTAAACGCCTTGTTGGAGCTCCTGCCCCCCCCTCCCTATGAGCCCACTGTGCTCTGATTGGTCAGCTCGCCCACTCTGTTCTGATGAATCTAGCAACCAGAAAACGACACCAGTAATGACAAACAGATGAGAATGCTGCGTGGGGTCTGGGTGCCGTGTTGGTGGGACGTTGCGGGGCTCGCTGCTTTGAGGAGGGGACAGTGTGAGCTCCATTACTGGTGTCGTTTCCTGGTTGCTGCGTGGGGTCTGCGAGACAGTGAGACATCGCGAAACTCAGCCTGAACTCAGACTGAGCACCATGGAAGCGGGAAGGGGGGGTGCTGAGGGGGCTGCAGCACCCCCATCTGCGAGGCTCCACTAGCACCCGCACCCCCAAACGCGGCGCACCTGCAGTGTAAGCGTTATGTGTGTGTGTGTGTGTGTGTGTGTCTGTGTGTGTGTGTGTGTGTGTGTGTGTGTGTGTGTGTGTGTGTGTGTGTGTGTGTGTGTGTGTGTGTGTGTGTGTGTGTGTGTCTTTCCGAGCATATACACATACAGCCTAATTCATGCGCTTTTATGACTGCACTGACAGCAGGCATACTTGTCAACCCTCCCGATTTTCGCGGGAGACTCCCGATTTCATTGCCCTCTCCCGGTTTCCTCCCGGGGTCATATTTGTCCCGCATTTCTCCCGATTTCTGACAAAATCAGATTTACTCAGGACTGTTTCCACTCAGACTTTAATACAGCTACACCATTGTTTGGTTTCCATGGTAACACGTCTCTTTAG